ATTCATGTTACTTTCCATAACGTCTATACTATGTTCCATATAATCCTCAGCCCATTTCGGGTCTAAACCCAGTTCATGTTCTTGGTTTTCCAGTTTTAGATCTGTTACATTTGCATTTTGTTCCAGTTCAGGAACCCAAATATCATCAGTGTGATGTTCCTATATTAGAGAACATATAAAAAATGTTTATACATAAAGTAATAATATATTAAGTGCGATAAGAATAGATAAAAATTACATTGAAATGGCGTCCAGATTGCAGATACTGATTAGCCCAAGCTGTATCTACAGTGGCTAATTCTTGAGCAACTCCTGGTGCTGCTATAGGTGGGTGAATGTTTTGATCAATTTCTCTCATTTCTTGTAATAAATTGTCCATTCTAAATGTTTGTGGACATGAAGGATTCTCTTCTAAAAATTGTTTAACTAACTGATCTGCATCTGAAGCTTGAAAAGGTTCCACATGTTCAAAGGGATGATGTATTCCATCTTCTTTGAATCCATGATCACGTACAAAATGTGATGTTAAACGAATCAAAGAACTAGGTCCTCCACAGTCACCCTCAACTAATTCGCGTAATGCCATTTTTTTCTTTAGATATTAGTGTTAATCTAAATTAAAGTTAAAACAACATATATTAATTATGGAAATCATGTACAACTAAAAATATTTAAATACTATAAATTTATTTATCAAATGCTGATATATCAAAAAATGATGCAACATTAACACCTGTNTATATATTTTCAAATATTTTATTTCCTTGTATTAGATACATAACAACTTACTCTTTCTGTGCTCAGTGATGTTATCTAACTACATAATTATAAAAGTAATTCTGTTCAGTATATAAATCGCATTAGGATTTTATGAAATATCTATGATCTACATGTTTAAAATCAGGCATTCCTGTGGACGACACGTTAGCTTATAAGCTGATTCGCAAGTAGCCGTGATGGCGCTTCTAGCGCTAGTAATTGTCACTTTTCCGTTGACCGTTGTGCGAATTTGTATGAATATTCGCGGTGCTTGTTCGCGAATGCAGTGATGTATTAATTGTTACGTGTAAAATATGTTAATTGTTAATTGATCGAACCGGATCACGTAGCATCACGTTGATATAAGGTACATTACCCATACGTACTTTAAATGTTACGCGTTACTCCGGTACAGGTTAATCTTTAGTTTGACGTTTTTTTTACACTTCATAATATTCGTTACTAAATGTATTTCGTGGACTACACTGCGTTATTTCTTCCCATAGCAATGATAAATTGTATTTTAATGCTGCTTAATCGCTGTCAATCAAATATTATAATTATTGCGTACTTTGCTTATGTGCGTGCGCAGGTCAAGTTTCGATTTAGATTCGAAGTACATACTGCAACTTTTCAATTACGATTTTTGTATTTTGCATAGTTATACGTTTTCCTATGTAAGAAATTGGTAATGGATTTAAGTATATCAAACGTTTTATTTATTCAAGCAATTTTTAATTAATTCGTCGCTAATACTTCAAATTGAGTCTCCTAATGTAATGAATATTGACTCTGATAATTTGTAAAGTAGTTTAAGATGTTGTTCAGATATCATAATTTTACTCTTAGTATTATATTAATATTTTATTTTAATATGAACTCTTCTTTTTACAATTCAATTTTTTTTAACTATGTCATTTCTGTATTTCAGTGTTACATAATAGTGAGTGTATATAATAGAAGATGACTGATCCTAAGCCTTCTGGAATAAGACCACCATCAAAAATTGGTCGACCATGCAGCAATTTACCACCAAGACCAGCAGTTCCACCATCACCTCCAAGACCATCAATGAGTGAGTCTTTAACAAATTCACCACATTTGCATGTCATGATAAGGCTGTATAATTTTGTTCATCATGTCCTTAGTTTAAACATATACTATGTCTTAATACCTTTGTCCAAAATTGTATAAAAACCGTATCGTATACGTAAATACAAAGAGATACAATTTCCAAACAAGATACATATTCTAATTATATATGAGTATTTATATAGATTAATAAAATTTGTCTGATAAAGCAATGCTATCATATTAAGATATCTGATCGTGCTCGCTAGTCGATAATTTGTTATTGAAAGTTTATAAAAATCGTGGACTGCGACTTTACATATTGCGTATTGACAGAAGTAATGATACTAATAATGGATTAGAACGATTCGAAACTCAACGGGACACCGTTAATTCCCCACGCGAAGTATACGAGAACGCCCACGAGACCCTGAGAGAAGCGTGAACGAATGCTTTTATACAAGTCCCCGCGCGAGCGATCTCTTTGCGAGTCGTTCTTCCAACTCTCAACGCAACGCATCTCGTCTGAGCGATCTGGTAAATATATTGGCTTATAAACAAACAATTACGATTGTTACCGAACACTGTCAAGTGAGTTTATTTCATCAAAACGATCGGTCGGAACCATAGAGTGAATTCCATTTAGTGCGTTGGTTGAAAAAACTATGAGGATCCAATGTATGGTTTTTTAAAAAATAAAACAAGAGAACAGTTTCATTTTAAATATTTTAATTTCTCTATCTGAATCTGATCGGAAGTGGATTCTCATCGTTTTTATCCATTCTAGTGAGCTTAATTTTAGTATTACTAACTGAACAGAGAGTCGTTTTAGTAACAATGTGTTTTTGTTCTCTCGTAAGTAAGTTATATTGGTTGTCAGGTTTTGAAGATTCATCTTTAGAGGATGTTGCTTGGAGGGCAAGTGTCCTTCGAACCATACAAATTTTGAAATAGTTCCGATATTTCTGTGTATTTTTGGATCAGATCTTACTGTCATCTGGAGCAATCGTTCGATTTCTTTAGGTAGTAATCTGTTCTGATTGTTCTGGATGGAATCGACTTTTCGACTTTGCAAACTCTTCGAGTAACTCATTTATCAGTATAGAACTGAGCCTTGATCTTCTTCTGGAATGGGTTGGGTAGCGAGATCTAGATAGCACGCTCGATTATTCCAAGCGGAGCAGAAAAAGATCCGAGGTTTGTCTCGTACAAAAGCGCCTGGTGTTGCATCGAGGGCAGACCTATCTTGCCTTATTGGTTCATCCAGTGGCTCCGGTTGGACCGCGTGCAGTCCGGTGCAGTCATCGTCGCATGACGCACACGCGATGCGTGTTATGCAATCCACGTGTGTTTGTTGTATGCTCGATTTCCAAGCGGTAGTAGCACGTCGTCGGTTCGTCTTTCCTCCCACGTGCTCCGCGTGATTCCCTTTTCGGGCAGGGCTTTTGATCTGCGTTCATCCTTCTTCTTGCACCCATGATCAACCGGGCTCGGATTTCGCAACGCGATAGGAAAGCTCAAGGTAATCGTGATCAAGGTAGTCAAGTTCAAGATGTCAATTTTCGAATTGACATGGAAATTGTATATCTATGCAGGTACGGTTTCCCGATACTCAATATTCATTCGAAAAGAGAGATCCTTTTGCTAATGCTGGAAACAATAATAATTACTTCAATAAACTCTTTAATTCCCCCATCAACTCTTGCGGTACAATTTGGCTTACATTAATTCATCACTATTATATTCGTAACTTCATTCTTATTTGCACTCTTAAAATTAGTCGAACTGGCTGCTACTACCTGTGATACGCAATCCCTGTTTCTAATTATAGTCCTCGGTAATTAACATTCATAAAATTCTTTGATCGAACAGTTGACGACTGCTTGATTCCATAGTTGTGTATATCGCGCAAGTGTTTATACGTTCTTTTCCTTGAATTCCATTCCTCCATAAAGCAACGTGTAAGGTGACGATCTTTCGCTCTGACGCAATCGATGTTCATGGTGTTCGATAACCGTGTCATCATCATCTGCTAAATATGTATGGACTGCTACATAATGTCGGTTTTGGGTTTCTGGTCAATTTACGTAAAGACACTAGCTGCTTTTTAAGGATGTATTGGTTATACAGTCAATCCCAAAAGTTTATGTACCTTAGAAAAACGCATTTCCTATAATTAAAAAAAATCAGACGTCGGAGGAACAATGCTAATAATAAATAGCTACAAAAAGTATAGAAGGAAATATCCAATTAATTATTGACGATAGCGAAAAGTTTATTATACAGAAATTGTAGGCACTGATGTCCTCTACAAGAAAGATTCTATGTATTTTTTCCGTATGTCCAACGGTTTGGGAGTTATTGGCCAAAAAGGAAAATTTGGAAAAAATTGAAGGGGTACCCCTTGGAAAAATCTCGGAAAAATCGAAAATTTTGTTTTGTTGTTTATTATTAGCAATGTTCTTCCGACGTCTGATTTCTTTTTAAAAAATGCGTTTCTGGGGTGCATGGGCTTTTGGGATTGACTGTATAGCCAATACATCCTTGAGAACGAATTACTTATTAGTCCGGGAGGCCGCTATGATTTTGTTGTCTAACTATATTATGGCTGAAATTTATTATGTCGAATATATAGTCCGAGTAAGAAACTTTCGTGCAGTTCTGAGATTCGGAGATGGAAATTATACTGTGATATCAGTAATACTGTTAAACACTGAAAAAGGGTGCGGACTCTCGGACTATATCCATTTCCTGATGTCATTAGTTCAATTAGGTATATCGTACATTCTTCAATGATCGCACATCACTCCTGTGGCTATTTCATTAGACGCAAATCTTCATCGAAATTCGTTCGACGTTCGCTTAAGTATCTCCCACTTATTATTAAGAAAAATCTGTAAGTCACAAGATGTTAGAAGAAAAGAATACGGTAGGTCGGTAGTATAAAAAATTTGATACATCAACGAGCGATTCGTCGAACGTGATTGAAAATCGATTCTGGAGCAAGGATCGCCTGGATCGTGTTACTCATGGCGTTCATTAGATTAGATTCCAGGAACAAATTGCTACTTGCTGCTAGTAGTAATCGAATCGGGTATACCATCATTAACCTTGTTTACTTACGTATGGACCGTCCACATTCATGCGAAACCGAAGTACCTCGGGATTATATGACTATTTACAGGGATTTAATTACACCTATATCAAGGTGGTCTATACTACACATACCAGAGCAAGGAAAGGGAAGTTGTCTTGAAAGTTTCACAAAATTAGTGTGACGAGTAGAGTAGCCTTTTATTTACATAGCCTTTCGTTCTATTCCGATATATCAGATTCGTTTGAACCTATTTGCTATGTGCATTCGGATCGTTTCTTCTCCGCAATTTTTTTTCTAGATGACTCACGTGTACAACGTTGGAAGCGTTAGACAGTGATGCATCGATCTTTATATAGGATACGAAAAATAGAATTGCGTTGTATTCTTTGAGAATGAATAGGTAATCTTGATTCTTGAATGCTTTATATTCCAATATAAATTTATACTATAATTATACAAGGAAATAATTTTTAGTATAAAATTTAAGTAATGTTTTATATTTGTATGAAAATTTTTATTCAAGTATAAATATCATATAATTAATTATAATATTCTATATATACTAATGTTAAAAGTACATAAGTAACGTCATTAGGTACATGTTTGTACTGCTCTTGTTCACTGATTGTGCTTCGAGATTTATCTCCAAGAGATTCTTGTTAGCAAAATCTTGTGCACTATTCTGGAAAGACGGACTCGTCCTCAAACAATGTCATACGTAATGTACGTGTCATGCGTTCAATCGTTATTCGCTTTAATCATAGATCGATCTAATCGAACAGAAACTTCTGCCCACGCGAACGACCTACTACCACCGCCCGCCCACTATTAGTTCATGAATAATTACATTGCGAATCGCGGCATTTTATCTGATTTCCCCCGGTAGAAATCGCTAGCTCGACTGTAATTGAATTAGACAAATACGATATGATAGAAAAAGGGAAATTTTTTCTTCTTATATAAAAGAGACAATTTTTTTCGTTTAACGAACGTAGCCATATAGTTTCCATATAATTTATACTTTACATATAATTTTCGACTGATATTTAAATTCCGAACGAATATTCCTTTAATATGGAGAATTCAAGGAGGACACAGGTATCTATTTATTTATTATCGCTTCGTTATATTTTTAGCGTCGTTGTCAAATCAATTCGTAACCGAGCACACCCTGTTTACATAACTTGTCGCTTAATTACTCAGTCCCACCTCTTTTACGTATGGGACCAATTAATGACCGTACCTATTAAGTACGATGTGTTTTATCTTGTGTGACGAAAGATATTAATCTTAATGTTCCATTATTGAACGCGTCGTCGACCCTTTAACAGCGTTGAAATTATCAAGAACGAATTGAAAGCCCGAGCCTGATTAACTCCGTGAAAGCATGCTTTTTGTTCTGTATTATTTGCATTGTTTTGCGTTGTTTTGCATGACTACAGGCCAGATGGATCATCTCTGGGAAACGCACGGCCGTCGATTAAGCGAGGCTGGCCTGCGCAGAGGATCAGGTAGGTGCTCCTATTTTTTTTCCTAATTTCCTTTATTTCATATTCACTTCTTATTTCTGTTTATCAACGATAGGATGCAAGAGTAATTGCTTTATTCGCGCGTAAGGTGAATAAGACAGAACGTGCCGGAGTAAAAATGTAAAGAATTTTCGTATCGAACACCTGCCGATAGAATTTCTACGTTACCGCATTGGCCGCATAACATTCCTGTTATCTTGGCATTCGGCCACGGACGTGATTTCGCGAAGTATTTCAATCAACGCTCCCATGACCTGAAATTCCCTCAAACGTGACCAATTGCTCCTCAAAGTGAGCGATTACACCTCGCATCGTGCCGTAATCTGCGATTACAAATGCATCGTGTCTTTTGTGAATTGTCCCTCGATAACTGTTTCTTTTGTACTTTTGAGATGTACTGCTTGCTAAGCTGCACGTACGCCTATCGCATTAATTGATTTGAACAGATCGGATTAGATAGGACGGATAAGATTAGAACAGATGCAGTTTTTCGAAGTACCTCTTTAATAAATATTATTCAGTGTCTGAAAAGGTAGCTGTTTTTCTGGTAACAGGATAAGCAATTTTCTATGAAACGTATCAGGCAAGTATTTCATATCATTGTGGATGTATTCGAAAGTGTATCTGAGAAGAAAGACTGCGAGTTGAAATTGACAATTAAAGGAAACGAGGATTTAGCAAGAATAAGAATACACCATTAAACCTTTAAAACCAGACAATCATAATTCCCCGTGCTCCTATAAAAATTGATTTCGTCTCGGACAGATAACAGCGTGGTCTTGACGGAGGACACGGACAGCTTCATAATAGGAGACCGGGTATGGGTTGGTGGCACGAAACCTGGCTCGATTGCGTATATTGGGGAGACTCAATTCGCCCCGGGAGACTGGGCCGGTGTAGTTCTGGACGAACCCATCGGTAAGTCTCGGCCGGTCTATCGCCTCTGAAGATTTCATGTGTGAAATTAACGAAAAAACGGAAACACTGCAGGCAAGAACGATGGATCTGTCGCCGGTTGCCGATACTTCCAATGCGAACCTAAGCGCGGCATTTTCTCCCGGTTGACCAGACTGACCCGGACACCGTTGACTGACATCTCGGAAATCTCGCCAACCCAGAAGACACCTACGTCGCCGGCTGACAGCGCGAAAGGCACTCTTAGCAAGTCCATGTCCCCATCATTAAGTAAGGATCGCTGCAAGAAATACCCTCGTTCGTAGTGTGCATGAACTTGTGTTCTTGAGAATAGGAACTGAAAGAATGCGATCCTTTAGTTCCCTAGGTCTGCTCTTGCAATGGTAGAGTTAAAGAGACACGAGTAGATAAAGGTGTCATGTAATGATATGTACGTCTACGTGAAGAAAGCTGATTCATAATCGACCTTTATCCTCTCGTATCTTCGTAATCGTAGAATAGAGACGTGTTGCTACTCTGTAGATATAAGGCTGTCGAATTATTGCGTATTATTGTAGATTGTAATTTTTATCGATTAATCTTTCGGATGAGGAATTTGTTTGTAGATAATGGCTTTCCCAAGTGGAACATTTTGTTCGCACGCTGTATGATTGAAGTTGCACTGTGTAGTTTTTTGTTACTGTGTCTAACAGGTAGCACGCTGTATTGAGCTTTAGTATCTGAACTCTTCACTTAGTATCTACATTTTATGTAATATTAATTAGTACGAGTAGTCAACGATGTAATATTGTCCATTGCCCTGTACATCTTGAGCCGTTTGGCTGTCCGTTTTATTTGTCCTCCAATCTCCTCTCATTAATTCATGTATTTAATAAATGAATTGGATACCGCTTCCTTACTTTCTTATCATCAGCGTGAACGCAGGAAATCTTCAACTGAAACTTTAGTGGTAGCGCGTACAGAACTGAAACCTTAACTCCTATAAGGATCTCGTTTCTAGTTGAAGGTTGCCTACAATCACTATTGCTGCAAGGATCTCGAATAGTATTATTTTTGCGTAACGTTCGCTCATTGTCAATGTCTTTCATTGCATGCTATACTTTGGAAGAACACTCAGTGCATTGTGAAAGAAAATACAATTAATGACTCGCAGACGCATCAATGACGAGTTTGTCGTCGACGATATCGCAGAGAGGAGATATCAGGATAGGCGACAGGGTAATCGTGTCGTCCAGCCAGGGTAGCAAAACCGGTGTCCTGAGGTACATGGGCACCACGGAGTTTGCAGCCGGCGAATGGTGCGGCGTGGAACTCGACGACCCGGTCGGAAAGAACGATGGTTCCGTCGGTGATAAGAGGTCTGCATCGTTTTCCCAAATTTATAATTCGCACCGAAGATCTCGGCTACTCGACACGTGCTGCTGTCTTTGTTCGAACTTTGATTGGTTTAGAATTATTCCCGTTAGCTCTTTATATAAATCGCAAGGTTGTTGTGCTATATTAACTCTTGGTGATAGGTAGATCATTAATCACGAAATTCTATATAGAATATTGAATACAATTGAGAATAGTTCAATTTTCCCAAAAGAATTCAGACATTATCATTCTCGCGTAATTGAAATCTTCGGTTCGCCGAGACTCCAAGTTTGGTCGATCGTGCTTCTCCCTCTGTTCTACAACATCGAATTAATTAACACAGTTCAATCACGCCAGTAGGTATATTTATATCTTCGATCGCATGTTGAATAGAATGTAAACAGATAACAAAGAGAACCTTGAGATTTATTACCACCATTCATATCTCATTATTCTTAAAAAAGTGACTAACAGTTAAGAATTGATATGCGGCCACCCAGTGCCGTATACAGTGGGCGAAGAATTCGTTACCATTAAATAGTATCATTAGATCCTTCATATTTCTCTCTTCGCTCTTACTAACTGGTTTAGCATTCATTCAGGTACTTCGAGTGTAGACCTAAATATGGACTGTTCGCACCCGCGCACAAGGTCAGCCGGTCGCCGTTAAGTAAAAGGTCATCTTGCATAGTGCACAAGCCAACGGGTGCAGCTCTGAACACATCTCTGAGGAAGATCGGTTCCAGAGAATCGTTGGTCTCGGTGTCGAGCTTTACGAGCACCGCGAGTACGGCCACCAGGGCTGGTGTCGGTGCTGCGAGGGTAAGATTCACCGTGCCAGAGTGAGGAAGATATGATCTACAGCTTCTATCTTCTTTTTGGAACGCAGATTGCCTAACTGACTGTTTACTTTGTTTATTTTGAACAACTAGAGGATGTAGAATGCAGGTGTATCATTCAACGCGAATGAATGAATTTGACTTATTTACTATCCGCATTTGACAAATACTTAATCTTGCATTACATTCTCAGTAAGTACACTTCCTTGTCCCTCTCCTAATTTAGGGTCTGATAAAGGCCACAGTTTTGTAGCATAAGTGAAGATATCCTCTAGATCCTCTAGTTGTTTCAGTTGTTCAGTACAATGAGCGCGTTTCCTTTAATTCGAACGAACTCTCTTCACGAGGCTGCTTTAGAAACGCGTTTGCGATCGAAACCGCAATCTTGTTAGCATGTTAGTCCTTTAGTGACGTTGTTAATTCCGTGTAGTTGTTAAAGTTGTTGTCTTTGTTGATGTTTTTTGTCAATAATACGGTAGTCGTAAAGTTGAATTAATTCGCGTGAAATCCAAAGAAATATGTAATCAGTAATCGATGATCATGGAACGAATTTAACTTTATTGTTGTATATTTTTTTATGAAGTGGAAAAGCGGCTTTTAACTGTCTGGCTGGTGCATGATATGTTTTTTTATTTTTTTGTTGCATCGAAAAAATTCCAGAGGCCTGGTTTTCGCACGTCGACACCTGCACGAATCACCCTGCAGGTGAGGATCATAATTTAACATTCATTTAGATTATTTATCATGTAGATAATTATTAAACTATTTATTCGCGTAATTAAGCTACACGAGGAAAGTAGTTTTTAACTGTCGGTGTGATTGTAAAAAATTTTACATAGTCGGAATGTCAATGTTCTGTAGGCATCGTTTATTAGTATGTTATTATTAGTTGTACAGTAGACGATAAGTAGTTTAGAAAAATATTCTGATATTTGTATACGATGTTAATAAAATCATCCGTCCATTCCTTTTAATCTCCTTGAAAATCTGAATTCCATCTGGACGGTCCTTTTCTTTTTATTTACGTAGCAATATGTATCTCAGTCATCTGTAGAGAAAGTACAAGTACAAGTACAATAACAAGTTCGATTTCAATAATTTATTTTTCCGTACGAACGAGCTTCTGTAATTAAATCGCCAAAATATTCTTTACATGTTGCAATCGTTTAAATGTTGTCAGTAAAGTGTCTAAGTTTCTTTGTTGACGATGACACATCGATGATGTTAGCGATGATGTATATTTAACTCAATATCAACATGACGTTACGCGTCTCGAATTTTTAATCAGTAAACTCTAGTTTATTCGCTTTTCTTGTATTTATTAAAAACCGGTTCCCTCGTAACGCAAGGAATGCGATGTCGGCGTGAAACATTTAGTAAAACGAAACGTACATAGCATGTATAAAATGAACGTAGTATTTGCATAGGTATTAGAGTACACGTTTTCATCCCAATAATTAAATATTTCCTCTTGCATTAGTACAACAGAAACATAGTACAGTCTATACTTGTACTGCGAACACTTAAATTATTTTCTATTTAATGCATCATGCATTAAATCATTGCATTAAAAACTCTTTGGAATGCAGCATTGGTTCAATGTCTCTGACGCGAATATCCATCGTTTTAGGAAACGTTAAAGGAGAAACAACAAGAAATCGAAATACTCCGAAAAGAAAGAGATTTGGAACGTGAACGAGTGACGAAAGCGGCGAGTCAAGCGGATCAAGCGGAACAATCGATTATTTCGATAGTAAAAGAATATGAGGAGGTTGTAGCATTACGCTGTTATATTATCTATGCAAATTATATGATATATAATATCATGTATCGAGAATATTATTTCTGGATTTTAGTATCGAGAGAAAATGCAGAAGACAGTCTCCAATGCGGAGACTGCCTTCTCAAAGTTGCTCGAAGAGAAAAATGCGCTCGCTTTACAATTGGAGGAGGAGAAAAGGAAATGCGAGGATCTATTGTTCCGTTTTGAAGAAGAGTCAGTTAATAAAGACGATATACAGGTATAAATCTTGATTGAATAATTATTCTTACAGACATAGAAAGATTTATCTCCATTATAAAACATTCCCTGTTAAATAAATCTACTGGAAGGTAAGTGTAGATATTTGACAAAGTTGACAAAATTCTGGAGAGGAAAGTGAACGAAAAGATATACAAATCATTTTTATCTTTTCTCTTGTTTCACTTTGTTTGATCCTTTTCTATTTCGTTGCTCATTACTAATCGGCGGAATGTAAATCAGGAATTATAGATCAATATGCTTCCCTTAGAGTTAGATGCTTATACGTAATAAACGGTGATGGGCAATTCTATAAAAACAATACAAAATATTCCTATTATCTTAAAAATCATTATAATCACGTACTAAAATAAAATTGATAAGATTCTAAAATTATTAAACGTAGAAGAATACAAAATTTCATGAGGTAAATGCTTTTCGTATCAAGGCTATGGATTTTAATGTAGAAACATCATTCGTTTATTTTCAGAAAGAGAAAAGTGAGCAATGTGTGAGTATCCGATGGCAGCCATTTGGGACGGAGCAGGGGTTGATGATGCTGTGTTTCTGCACCGCTTCTTGTACCTTCATTGTAGTCATGTCATTTAGCATCTTATCGAAATTTTGTTAGACAGCCTCTAATATCGCAGCGTAAATCGTATAATGCTTCCTTCGCGATTAATCGATCCTTCATTTTTACATTAAGTATTCGAGTTTAAGTAATAGCAATGTTACATATGATGCTCATTTAGAAGTCATTGGTAGCATATACAAAAAAAAAGATTAGAAAAAAAATCGAAACAGTAGTACTTATAAGTGAAAGAAATAGAATTTTGTACTACGTAATTGCTTAGGTTTAACAATAAGTTAGAAAGGTGCCGGATTAACATATTTTTCGCGGCGCACTGCACACGATTGCTATTTCCAGTTAATGCTTTTTTCACGCAAAAATGTGCTTTACGTATGAGTCGGTCTTTAATCCGTTACGGAGTAGTTAGGTCTGTTAGGAG